GCCTGCGACAATATTAAAATTCAGGGGTTTAAGGGGAGCGGCCTGTGTCTTACAAACTCATGCAGGATTTATATCATCCACCGTAGTACTACTACGATGACGACGACGAGGACTACTACGACGCTCCTAGGATCACCGGCACGACAGTTTGTGGATATCGCAAAGTGGCGAAGGGCTTGATTTCCGGGATGGGCATGACGCTCTGGCTGTAAAGGCTGTGCCCCCCTAAACCCTACGTCTTTCTTCCACAAGACAGCAAACCGCGAAATCTGTGGCAGATTCCCAGACTCGAGAACTGTCCTCGAAGGCTCGCAAAGGGGAGGCTGTGTAGTTCCTGGGGCATAGCAAGACTGCGAGATCTTGTTCGTCGACGTCCGTGGCCGGAACAAACTCACGAAAACTTCATCCATGTCAAACCAAAGGTTCGACATTCCAACACTTGCCGAGCTTCGCCCAGTCACCCCAAGCGGAGCCTGTCAGCCCATCCTGGCCGAGACATGGAGGCGATATCGTCCCAGGCCACAATACATGGCAATTGACAAACCCCAGACGGAGCGTTGCTCAGGACAAACCCTGGCTTCGAAGCTGCATCCCACGTTAAAAGCACAGGTCCATGCAGCGGGCTTGCATCAGGTATCGTAGAAGCGCTCAGGAGAATGGTGTCAAACTTAAACGCTAATCCTAAACCCTGAACCCATCGAGCCTACATGAACTACGATGCAGCCTTGCGATTCGAACAAAAAGATACGATTATCTCCAATTTTGCCGTTGTGCCTTTCCGGCGAAACAGTACAAACAAGATTACTAACTACAACAACATCTATTTCTAGGCAGCTGGGAATGTACTCACATTACATGGCAGATGACGGTTCGTTTGCAAGGTACCTGGAAGAACATCCCGATGATGGCCATCATGGCAAGCCTGCCGTTGGCAAGCTCGGCATTGAGCTTCTTCTTACCTGAGTACGGGCCGAGCGGCAAATATATAAAGCAAACCTAACAAGAAAACACATGCCCAGATCACTATCCAGCCTTTTTTTCCTGGACCTGAGACGTTGGCAAGACCAGTGTTCAGCCCGCTTCCTGTGCTTTTCCCGAATGGGTAGCAAAAGGGCTCTCGTTTTCAACTTGGTTAAAAAAGACTGGGGTCCAAGGGTGCAGAAGTTGACAAGATGCCACGTTTGTGCGTCCTCGAAGTTCGCCAGTTGCGTCGAGCGGTGGCCGGCGTTTTGGGCGTGTTGCGCGGCATGCGCGCGCTTGCGGGAAAGGTGTTTTGGGCGTGTCGCGGGCAGCGAGCCGGACTTTGCCCGAAAGCGTTTTGGGCGTGTCGATGGGGGATCGTCGGGGACCGAAGCGCGCCCATTTTGCGCCTGTCTGTCGAGCCGCCGGGCACGTCCGTCTCGCATTTTTTCGCTCGTCTGTGCCCGGGGGTGGCGTATTCACACCGTGAGTTGCTGGAGCTCATTCTTCGCTTCCTGTGGCCCGTCTGTGCTGAGGGACGGCCTTGCCGGACCTTGTGTTGCTGAGGCGCGACACATTCTCCTCGAATCAAAAATAGTTGGAACCACACGCAACATGGCTTTCATGTTTTACGGTGTCATGACTCTATTGGATATCACCACGACAACATAACAAAATGATCTGATATCCATTCTTCTTCGCGAGGTGAGCAGGTGTGTGACACGACGCCGCGTGTCGGCATGCGGGTTCGCGGGTCCTATCAGGCTCTTTTCGCAGTACGAGTGCGTGCAATCACTTGTGACCACTTCCAACAGTATCACCAGGCATGCCATGTAGGATACTGTGTGTATGTGCAGTTCTCGCTCTTGTCAATACCCCAACCACGAAAACCTGTGGAAACACTTTGTGCGTTTCAGCTAAGCGGAGGCAGCGGTGGACACGAAAAATGCGAAAAACGCGAATAAAGCGAACACGCGAAAAATACAAAAATCAGCACAGTAGTAGTAGAAGTAGTAATAGTAATAGTAGCAGTGAAAATACTTGTAATCGTAATGATATAATAATAACAATAATAGTAGTAGTAGTAGTAGTAGTAGTAGTAGTAGTAGTAGTGGTAGTAGTAGTGGTAGTAGTAGCATTAGTAGCAGTAGTAGCAGTAGTAGTTGTAGTAGTAGTAGTAATTGAAGGGAACTTGCTGAGGGAATTTTGCAGTACTGACATCTATACCTTTCTTGGCGCAGCCCAGGTGCGGACCTCCGGGTCCTCGATGCCGGTGTTCATGATGCCAATGGATCGGAGGCCTCCGACAGGTGAAGTGCACACCGTTGGTTGTGGGCCCGGGGAATTCTTCAGAGCCACAGCTCCAGCGTTCGCAGGAAGCACACAGAAGAAGAGTCCTGAAGCTGAGACTTCCCGGGCAGAGCCGAGAAGAATGGATTGCCAACAATTCACAATGGCAAGTTGCACGGTCCGAGGTTTCTGATTACACATTCAAGGGCCACGAGCCTCGGACGGCAGGTGACCAAAGGTTGCAAATTTGCAAACAAGGCCGGCAACAGCAATGAAGTTTATCCACGACGCGGTGAGTGCTATTTGCATGCAACAGCAACTCTGGGAGGTTGAGCTATTTTCGAGCATTGTCGGGCGTACTGTACATAGAACATGTTCACCTCTCGTTGTACTACCACCCTAATGCAGGTGGTGGCACATAAGTCATCTCTCAGATGCTGGAGGCCCCTCCTTCTGCAGACTCGACCCCGTTCATCCTCGAACAAGGCCACTATCTGCCGACCACGACTGCCGTAAGCTCAGTCTGCTCTTCCAGACCAAGGTCGGACAAGGGCGTTTCACCCGAAGGGAGCTGTTTGGCTCCATGAAGAAGGCATGTGTTGGCAGCTGGCAACTCGAAAACGGCTGCAATCCCTTCTATAACATCGTGCATGCTAAGATCTACTGGCACCTTGATCGTAGCTATTTGACGCTCTGATCTCACCGTCAAAGGCAACAAAAGAGCCGCTTCCTGCTCCTGCTCCCTCTTTTGGTGCTCCTCGATGCTTTCCTTGAGCGTCTCGGCGAACCAGAGAGGGAACTCATCTGCACTGAGCTTGTCATCGACCCCATCTCGGCTAAATCTTCCAATCGAGGCCTTGAGGCCATCTGAGGTGACCCCGCTGATGCTCATGCCGAGGCCAATATGCAAATCATCGCAGAGTGTGTGCACCTCGCTGAGCTCAAGAGTGTTATTGCGATTTCTGTCATAGCGTCGAAAATACATGTTGCAAAGGCCCTTCATAAGAGCAGGCGAGTTCAGCAGCGCTTTCGCCAGCGAGCTTGTCAGAGTAGGAGGGACTACCGGCAAACCACTGCACTGAGTGCAGTGATGGTCACTTCCGAGTCGAGCCTCCTGCTCGGGTGTGTATCCGAAATGACTGATCTTCCAACTCCCAATGTCTTCGACCAGTGGCGGAGATATGTTGTAATGAGTCCCACCAAGGTTGACAGTCATTGGAGCTGAAGTTGCCTTCTGGCCATATTCGTCAACTCCCAAGCGCTGCTGCTGCTCCTGCGTGTACACTGCTGCTGTCCAGGTCCCCATGTTTCTACTTCCTGCCGGACGCTCGATTTCCCCACGTGTCCATGCCGGGCCGATCACCATGGCCGCAGCAACAGTCAAAGGTTCGGAATAATATTGCTCACAACACGGGCTGAAGGCCTGGAGCGGGAACTTGGGCTGAAGTGGCTACGGAGCTGTCGAAGGCAAACAGCAACAGCCGAAATAGACCTGGACTTACTGCATCTTTCGCTCCTGACACATCGAGATACAGCATTGCGGACAAGCTGCTTCACAACCGATCTACCTTTCTCCGATGCATGAACATGCCATGCCCAATTTGTCTATGGGACAATGACAAGCACATGCCAAAATGCAGCACCCAGCCTAAAAAGCCCGCTCCGTAGTTGCCAGGCTCATCCTTGATCTGCTCGTTGTAGATCTGGCTCTTTTTCGGGTAGTGGCTTCCCTATGTACATCCCAAGTGCGTCTCAGGATCTTGAAACAAGGGGAGGCATTAAGTACTGGCGGCCACATGGTGCGTGGTCACAACTTGCAAGTTGAAATTCAATTCCATCACAACTCCTCTTCCACGTCCTAAATGCATTCCCCTAAACTCCACACCAAGCTCCTCAGCTAACCCTCCCCTCAGAGAAGCCAGATCTAAACCCGTCAACTCATCAATCGACAGCGGGGCTTGGATCTCGACGATCCCCGCAAAGCCCACGATCTGGAGCCAGCCGAAGGCCGGCACCTGCAGGGCTTTAACGCTCCTGTGAGCGCTTCTTCGACTGCTTTTTTAGATTCCACATTTCCAGCTCTAAGGTCTGAGAACTTGAAGGCGTTCATTGATGACTCTGATTCTGAAGCCACATGTATGGCAGTGGATGCTGTCCGCAGATAAACAGGAGGCACGGAAACAACAAAGCAAGAACTGGTGCCCTGACAAAGACACTCGGCTTGCAGGGGCATCATGCCTTGGAGAAAGCCGACAGACCATTCGGCACATCGGCGAACTTGATGTCCAAGTACTTGGAAAGATAGCCTCAGGGAAATTCTTGTGAAACACCACATAGGGCTTGGGCCACGACACGAGCATCTCCACGTGACCCAGAAAGCTTCAAGGGCGCGGAGAATGGGGCTAATGACATTTGCACATGTGACCCCGAACTTCCAAAAGCGGCCAAACCCCGTAATTCGTTTTCAAAGCACACCAAGCCTGGGAAGCGCCAGTATTCCGGCAGAATATATCCGATCGTGGCGAACATGGCCACTCGGCCTGAGCTAGTGCTGTGGGGCTGGAGAAGCGTCGACAAACCGTTGAAGATGCTTATTCTAATGGCCGAAATGCAGCTCACCAATGAATCCAGAGGCTCGAAGCTCACCCGAAACCCCTTAGCAGTATTATCCAAGCCAAGACTACTGAGACTAGGCCAGATTATTTCGAGGAGCCGTGCTTCAGCTCCACTTCCCGCCGGCGCTTGAAGTCCTGTGGTGGCTCCAAGAGTTGAGAGAAGTTGAGTATGCGGGCTGCCTCGAAACACAGGGTTGCAATGTCGCCAAATATGGCACGGCATCGCGAAACCAGATTATGATTAGGATTGTTCAGCAGGCGAATGCAAATGCACAGTATGCTGGAAGCTTGTAATTGTAGAAAACAGCGAGCATGATGCCCACAAGCATTTACTTGTTCCGGGGGCTTAAATAAAGTTTGTTTCGTCGAGTTGAGAAGAGACCACGTGTTCTTTGAAGGAATCTGCCCCCTGAGGTCCAGATGCATGCAGCGAGACCCTTGAGCTGACGGCTTCACTGTTCTGAAATAAGGGTTGGAGTTAGGGATATAATTGTGGCCAAAGTGTCCCCATGCCTGGGATCTGCCAATTCGAACGCGATGCCACAACTCAGGATGGATAACTACTCGTGCAGCTCAGCTCAACGTTGCCAAAATCGATCCCGCCACATCTCCATCCCGGTGCCTTCAATCTGAACCCTGATCCAAAGTCGTCAAGGCACGGAGACGTTGCCGCTAGCAGACAGACCCAGCGGGTCCCAGAAGCCGACCTCTGAGGCTGTGGATTGATATTAAGTTTGCTTGGCGGTGTCCCGGCTTAAACCCTGAATGCTTCGGGAACGATGAGTGTCACTGAGGAGTTGAAGCTTAGGATTGGAGATAATCAACACTAAACAAGAAAGGAGAAGCTAAAAACAGCACAGTCAGCAAACCAGCAACGAAAAGAAACTACAAAAGTCTGAACAACCATGGGGCAACAATCTGCCTAGTGGTCCGGCCCTGAGGCCTGGCTTTATGCACCACCTCACAGAGACGAACACTCCACCCAAAAAACTTGCTGATGCAGCAGCTTCCAGCTTACGAGGTCCAGGGAATCTTTTCTTCTGCCGGCACTAACCTCTCCTAGCTTTTGCTGAACCGTCCTCACATGATGTACGCATCGCCAAGATGTTTGTGAATGGACTAGGAGCAGTCGTGAACTCTGTTCTCACAAGACAACGCTGCCAATTTGAACCGAAGCCGCTGGCGCTTGGACACCAGTTTCCTCAGCTCCGCATGCACTGACTAGTGGTGTTCAGAGAAACGGCTTGGAACCCCTGGACATCATCTAAAATGGTCTTAGACTCAGAACGCTGGAAAAGACCGAGCCGTGCCTTCCCAGCTAGGAGATAATATGGAAACTCAGACAGATGGATCCTACATTCGTAATTTTTGTCACATCTATACATCGTCCAGATCCCTAGCAGTATGATTTTGCTGAAAATTTCAGATGGGAGAATCAAGCGTGCAGCTTTGTCTGTGCGGGGTGGTGTGCTTGGCGTAGCTGCATTCAAACATGAAACCTTGCATCGACAACCGGCATCCCAATCCCCGAACCTGTAGTCCGCGGATTTGTTGCACAGGTTCACACACTAAAATCCCCAATGCTGAACCGTAAGCCTCCACTCAGTGAAAACCAACATGGCGACCCAAAGAATGAAACGAAACTCCGTAGACTCCATAGCTAGCTTCCAGGAGCCGTAATTGCCACGGCGGCTACCTCTTTCAGCAGAACAGTTTAAGCAACCAGGCATCGTCCTCGAATGCCCGAAGGGGCGAGTCCGTATACAGCGCCCAATCACCCCAGGCAGATCCGGTGAGACCGTCCTCTTGATGTTGCCAAATAGAGATTTTGGATTGACAGGGGCCGGGGCTACGTGTGTGTGTGTGTGTGTGTGTGTGTGTGTGTGTGTGGGTGCGTGCGTGCGTGCATGCGTGCGTGCGTGCGTGCGTGCGTGCGTGCGTGCGTGCGTGCGTGTGG